GCTTCTGGAAGGGCGCCAGCCGCCAAGCGCCTGCCATCAGGGTTCGCGGGGTCTCTACACAGCTGGGGTGTCTGGGCGCCCCCTTGCAAGCATCGGTGGGTCTGACGAAAGGGGGGATTGGACTTTCTCCCAGATGGGGTCCAAGTGGAACCCCATGCCAAGAACCACCCTGCTTGTCTCCAGGGTGCCCTGGGTTTCTTGGGTTTCGATGGTTCTGCAAAGGAAAGCGTGACGCTCCCACACCAAAAAAGCAATGAACGTCCTGGGGTTTCAGGGTTGGGTTTCTTGTGGAAGGTTCCTTGTGGTCGAACTCCTACTGTAGATGGGGTCGGAGGATCGCGCCGCATCGCCGATGCATCGCCGAAGCATAGGCGATGCATCGGCGGCGACGTCGGCGCCTTCGGCGTGGAGAACATCTGGCTCCACATCGACCCGCATCGCCAGTGCATCGGCGATTCGGCGCGATCCTCTAACCCCATCTTCCGAGCGACCCCATTTGGGAGGCCTGGAGGGATAGGGAAGGGGGGGATGAACTCTGCTGCACGCAGCTGGTTTCGCTTCTGCTGCCGCGCGCTTTCCTTGGTGCAATGACGCCCACGGCGCTGGAGAGATCAGCTACGTGAGCCGATTTGCCAGGTTCCCCTTTGCTTGCATCGCCGTGCCGAAAGCTTTCACCATTCGGGGTATGCTGACTGCGCTTCGGCGGAGTAGGAAGAGCAGTATCGTATCCGTGTGGAAGCGCATCCTGTGCGATGAGTTGTGCAATTCGGCGCGGAGTAGTTTCTGGATTTTTCGGCAACCACAATTAAAACCAATAGGGAACACAAGTACTCCGCAGAACGCCGCCAGCCGTATGTCATGTTAGGACTCTTGCATGGGAAGATCACGAAACTTTTGTCACGGCGGTGTATCTCCTCATCCGGTCGGTCCGATTCGACATTGATTTCGGCCGTCCCGTTCCGATCCGATTCGATCCTGATATTGCGACGATCCGATACGGCCCGACGCTCGCACGGCGTCGCTATGCATCCCGGCGCGGCCCATCCTTCGATTCGGTCCCGCCTCGGTGCCCGGCACGGTCCGACGCACGCTCCAATCCGATCCGATCCCCCGCTCCGATGCCGACCTGTCCTGCCCCCTCGCGCCCGCCCCGACGAGGAGGGCGGGGCCGTCGCCGCCCTGAACGGCGGCCAGCTGATCGTCTTCATCGCTGGCGGCGGGCTGCTCACCATGATCGGCTTCGCGTTCACCTGGCTCTCCGAGGGGCGGGGAGCGGCAGCAGAAGTCGGGCCTGGCCCTCTGCAGGGGGGACACTCAAAGACGGTAAAACACAGCCTGGGGACGATTTTTCTACTAGTTTGGATTATTTTTTGGGCATTTTTTTGTTTTTTGGTTTTGTTTTGTTTTGTTTCTATATATATACTGTATTGTGATTTTTTCGTCCAAGATCCCCCTGTAGGGGGACATGGCCGGCCTAACAGTAGCCTGGGGCCCACTCGCAGCGAGGGCGCGCCCTGCCCCAGGGAGGCTTCGCACCGGAAGAGGCAGGGGCGCAAGCCATCCCCAGGTTTCCGGCGATCTGTACCTCCTCCTCCTCCTCCTCCTCCTCCTGTTCCTCCTCCCCCTCCTCCTCCCCCTCCTCTTCCTCCTCCTCCTCCTCCTCCCCTCCTCCTCCCACTCCCCCTCCTCTCCTCCTCCCCCTCCTCTTCCTCCTCCCCCTCCTCTTCCTCCTCCCCCTTCTCCTCCTCCTCCTCCTCCTCCACAATTACTCAATTTGAATACTACTCTGCCTCTTCCCCTGATGGCGTGCTGGGAGTAGTAGACCCCCCCCCCTGCGTACTGTTTTTTTACACACAGGATTCCCGGGAGTTGGGTTTTCGCCTGCGTTTTTTTTTTTTTTTTTTTTTTTTTTTTTTTTTTTTTTTTTTTTTTTTTTTTTTTTTTTTTTTAAATGCTGCTCTCGCTGAGGCGCCGGCCTCATTTCTGCTCCCGAATCGTTCCGAATCGTGCTCCCGCTGCAGCGTGGGCCTCATTTTCGGATCGGTGTTTTGCCTCCGTCGTTCAGGATGGCGTTCTCGCCCCAGCGCGGGCCTGTTTCTCGCGCGCCCATCCGCTCGCCACCACCGCGCCGCACCACGCCCCGCCCCGCCGCACGCACACCCACCGCCACTTCCACCCACCAACGCACGCACGCACGCACGCGCACCACCACCGCGCACCGCCACCACCACCGCACTACCCACACCACCACCACCACGCTACACCGCGTCACACCACATCACACGCGCGCACACACAGACACACACGCACGCACGCACGCACGCACACACACATACACACGCACACACACACGCACACACACACACCACGCACCCCGGCCAGGTGTAGGATGTCAGATGTTGACGCGAGCGCACCTAACTTGTCCTCCTCCCCCTCCCCCTCCCCCTCCTCCCCCTCCTCTTCCTCCTCCCCCTCCTCTTCCTCCTCCCCCTCCTCCTCTCCTCCTCCCCCTCCTCCTCCTCCTCCTACTCTTACTCCTACTCCTTTCATCATCGTCATCATCATCGTCATCACCGTTGGTTGCAGTTTTTTTCTTTATGTTTTTTTTCCAATGCTAGCGTTTCCCATCGATTTCGGCCTCTGGGGCTCGTTGTTGGGCCCCTTGGGCCTTAAAACGTGGGGCTCAGGACGAACAACTAACTTCCTGGGGGAAAGGGGTCTGGACCTCCTTGGGGCTGCGAATTTGACAAGACAACGTTGTCGGACGTCTTGGTCGGAAACATGTGTCGACACACGGGCGCCTGAAGTCTCCAGACCCCCGGGACATGCGTCCCTCGCGGTGAGAGCACCGATCTTATTCTGCGCTTCGGCCTTCCGAGGCTCTGCACCGCCAAGTGGAGCATGTACACCGACGAGGCGAGCAGCACCTACGTGGAGGACCCCAGGGACGTCGCCCTGATGGGCGGCGTGATCAGCTTTCTGATCGCGGCATGCTTCGTGGTAGTGTTCGACACTGTGGGAGACACCATCCTGTACTGCTATGCCGCCGAGCAGCTCAGGGTGAAGACGATGGCGCAGCGCGAGCGCGAGCGCGCGCGCGAGCTCGAGCACGACGTGGAGGAGCCCCCCGCCCTCCTGGAGCAGATGGCGAGACGGATAACGTGCGCGGGCCCCCGCCCGCAGAAGAAGGAGAGCGCCCGGGCCGAGGAGCGCGGGGCAGCAAACGGTACAAGCACACGCTCGGGTAACTCCGCGCGGGTTTCTTGGATCGGCGATGGACCGCCCGCCCTGGCGCGCTCCGCGCGCCGGGGAGAGCAGCGCGGGAGGCGTCGCCAGGGGGGGCCCCAGCGCCGACCCGAGGAATGCGCTTGTGGCGTTTCTTTCTCCCACCCGTGAGCTGGAGCAGTTCCTGTACGCCCCGCCGAGGCTGCAGAGGGCGCTCTGGAACTGACGGCGACGATGATGATGCTGCTGCTGATGAGGATGACGATCATGAAGACGATACGATTGATGACGATGCTGCTGCTGATGGTGATGATGCTGCTGATGATGATGACGATGATACTGCTGCTGATGATGACGACGATGATGCTGATGCTGATGCTGATGCTGATGCTGACGACGACAACGACGACAACGACGACAACGGCGACGATGATGATGATGATGATGATGATGGTGGTGGTGGTGGTGGTGATGATGATGACGACGATGATGATGATGCTGGTGATGATGATGATGCTGATGATGATGATGATGCTGATGCTGCTGCTGATGATGATGATGATGATGATGATGATGATGATGATGATGATGATGATGATGATGATGATGATGATGATGATGATCATGGTGGTGGTGGTGGTTATGATGATGATGATGATGATGATGATGAGGAGGAGGAGGAGGAGGAGGAGGAGGAGGAGGATGATGATGATGGTGGTGATGATGATGATGATGATGATGATGATGATGATGCTGGTTCTTGTATGCCCCGCCGAGGCTGCAGAGGGCTCTCCGAGATCTGGGGCACGACCTCCGGCCGCCGGCGACGGCCTGAGCGGCACGGGCTCGCCCTCGCTCGGAGCCTGCTTCGCCGTGGGAGGCTGCGCGGGCGTCCACGCACCCTGCACGCGCCGCTCCTGGCAAGGGCACTCCCGGGTAATCGGGATGCGTGAATCGAGGGTCGGGGGTGATGACAAGAGTTAAGTCGGGCATGTCCCTCTACAGGAGGATAATTCAAAAATAATTAGACAACCAGTTTTGGGATGATTTTTGGAGTATGTTTGCGCATTTTTCGAATATTTCCCAACCCTCTTTGGTTGGGTATTCGTTTTGAATAGAGCAGTGTGGTCTCCACTCCTTCCTCCTCCTCCCTCCCTCCCTGCCTCTTCCTGTCTTGCCTGCGGGGGGCTGCGATCTGTGAAACTGTCGCCATTTTCGAGGCCTGCTGGGGTGCCCAGCACAGTGAGGGCGACGCGCGGATTCAAATTAGACCTCGCCATCCCTGGGGGGCTGCGTCGCCATTTTCGAGGCCTGCTGGGGGGCCCAGCACAGTGAGGGCGACGTGCGGATTCAAATTAGACCTCGCCATCCCTGGGGGGCTGCGATCTGTGAAACTGCCGCCATTTTCGAGGCTTGCTGGGGGGCCCAGCACAGTGAGGGCGACGCGCGGATTCAAATTAGACCTCGCCATCCCTGGGGGGCTGCGATCTGTGAAACTGTCGCCATTTTCGAGGCCTGCTGGGGGGCCCAGCACAGTGAGGGCCACGCGCGGACCCAAATTAGACCTCGCCATCCCTGGGGGGCTGCGATCTGCGAAACTGTCGCCATTTTCGAGGCCTGCTGGGGGGCCCAGCACAGTGAGGGCCACGCGCGGATTCAAATTAGACCTCGCCATCCCTGGGGGGCTGCGATCTGTGAAACTGTCGCCATTTTCGAGGCCTGCTGGGGGGCCCAGCACAGTGAGGGCCACGCGCAGATTCAAATTAGACCTCGCCATCCCTGGGGGGCTGCGATCTGTGAAACTGTCGCCATTTTCGAGGCCTGCTGGGGGGCCCAGCACAGTGAGGGCCACGCGCGGATTCAAATTAGACCTCGCCATCCCTGGGGGGCTGCGATCTGTGAAACCGTCGCCATTTTCGAGGCCTGCTGGGGGGCCCAGCACAGTGAGGGCGACGCGCGGATTCAAATTAGACCTCGCCATCCCTGGGGGGCTGCGATCTGTGAAACTGTCGCCATTTCGAGGCCTGCTGGGGGCCCAGCACAGTGAGGGCCACGCGCGGATTCAAATTAGACCTCGCCATCCCTGGGGGGCTGCGATCTGTGAAACTGTCGCCACTTTCGAGGCCTGCTGGGGGGCCCAGCACAGTGACGCCACGCGCGGATTCAAATTAGACCTCGCCATCCCTGGGGGGCTGCGATCTGTGAAACTGTCGCCACTTTTCGAGGCCTGCTGGGGGGCCCAGCACAGTGACGCCACGCGCGGACTCAAATTAGACCTCGCCATCCCTGGGGGGCTGCGATCTGTGAAACTGTCGCCACTTTCGAGGCCTGCTGGGGGGCCCAGCACAGTGACGCCACGGGCGGATTCAAATTAGACCTCGCCATCCCTGGGGGGCTGCGATCTGTGAAACTGTCGCCACTTTCGAGGCCTGCTGGGGGGCCCAGCACAGTGAGGGCCACGCGCGGATTCAAATTAGACCTCGCCATCCCTGGGGGGCTGCGATCTGTGAAACTGTCGCCATTTTCGAGGCCTGCTGGGGGGCCAGCACAGTGAGGGCCACGCGCGGATTCAAATTAGACCTCGCCATCCCTGGGGGGCTGCGATCTGTGAAACTGTCGCCACTTTCGAGGCCTGCTGGGGGGCCCAGCACAGTGACGCAACGCGGATTCAAATTAGACCTCGCCATCCCTGGGGGGCTGCGATCTGTGAAACTGTCGCCACTTTCGAGGCCTGCTGGGGGGCCCAGCACAGTGAGGGCCACGCGCAGATTCAAATTAGACCTCGCCATCCCTGGGGGGCTGCGATCTGTGAAACTGTCGCCACTTTCGAGGCCTGCTGGGGGGCCCAGCACAGTGACGCCACGGGCGGATTCAAATTAGACCTCGCCATCCCTGGGGGGCTGCGATCTGTGAAACTGTCGCCACTTTCGAGGCCTGCTGGGGGGCCCAGCACAGTGACGCCACGGGCGGACCCAAATTAGACCTCGCCATCCCTGGGGGGCTGCGATCTGTGAAACTGTCGCCACTTTCGAGGCCTGCTGGGGGGCCCAGCACAGTGACGCCACGGGCGGACCCAAATTAGACCTCGCCATCCCTGGGGGGCTGCGATCTGTGAAACTGTCGCCACTTTCGAGGCCCGCTGGGGGGCCCAGCACAGTGACGCCACGGGCGGACCCAAATTAGACCTCGCCATCCCTGGGGGGTTGCGATCTGAGCATCCCCGCTTTCGAAGTGGCTAGGGTTGCTTAAGATTGCAACTAATCAGCTTTATCTAGTCCTTGTCCTGAAGCCAGTGTCCTGCGAGTCTCCCGAATTCCGTCTGCAGACATATGTAACCCTCGCTCCGTCATCGCCCCCCCTTATAAAGTGTCCTAAACTATTTGCGCCCCGCGTTTGCGCAGGGGTTGGGTACGTCGCCAGGTTTTTTTTTTGGTTATTGTTTTCTTTCTTCCGAAATCCGCCTATAGGAGGACACGCCCGACCTAAGACTGGGGGGGTGGATATCATGGCGGGGGCCATTATATCTTCTCCATGTTTCATGGTGTCTTTTCTTATTCAATCGCTTCGCTCATTACGCCAGCCCATCTTGTGGCATCGCTGGCACTCGCTTGCGTGCTTGGGGGGGCCTCTTGGGGGCCTCCTGGGGCCGCTTGGGGGCCTCTTGGGGGCCTCCTGAGGGGTCTCGTGGGGGCATCTTAGGGCCTCTTGGGGGGGCCTCTTGGACCTCTTGGGAGCCTTTCGGGGGCCTCTTGGGCGCTCCTGGGGGCCTCTCGGGGCCGAGGGCTCGAAATATCCGTGCGGGTCTCCCGTGTGGACCCCCTCTTGGAGCCGTCTTGGGGGCCTCTTGGGCTGTGTTGGAGGCCTCTTGGGTGGTCTTGGGGCCCTCTGGGACGGTTTTTGGGCCCTCTTTGGGGCCTCTTGGGCCGCGTTGGGGCGATCTTGGGGGCCTCTTGGGCTGCTTTTGAGGTTGTCAAAGCTTAAATGGCGAATCTGCTAAACATATACGTTTTGCTTAGGGAATCGGACGATTTTCGCCTCTTGGGGCCGTTTTGGGACGCCTCTTGGGGGCCTTTTGGGGCGTCTGGGAGCCGTCTTGGGCGTCTTGAAGCGAGCGTGTGGCATCTCGGAGCGCTCTTGAACCATCTTGGGGGGCTCTTGGCACTTTAAACGGAGAGGGTTAAAGGCGATATGTATATCGAGCATGCACCGCTGCCGTGCCTGGCTCAAGCCGGGCCCGGCCTAACATGTGATTGTGCCTCATTGAGGCGCACTACTTGCATCTGAGATCGGAAAAGACCTTTCTATTGACGATGCCCCTTCTATCCTTTACTCCAGATCCCATGCTTCATCTTGCTCTCTTGCTCATGCGATATGAGACAAAGCCTGGGATATGGGAGCGCCTAAGGCGGAACATATATCTTGGCTTACCAGTGCGTTTTCGACTTGGTAGCGGAGCTGGCTACACTCTCGTGTGGCTGGCTCTCGCTCTAATACCCATAATCCACGGCACAACTTGGTGGACTACTACTACGGTGGAATACCATGTTGCGCCGGCTCTGCGAGGAGCGGAGCCAGTCCGCGATCGAGCTAGCGGGGCGACCCGCGAGCTCGAGACGCTCTCTCCTACTTCACTGCGCTACTTCACTCCCGACTTCCACCAGATGCCAATCGGCAACTCGATCGAGAACGTGGTCACTCTGCGGGGCTACCCGCAGCGGGGCCACCTGCATCCCGTGCCGGTCAGGCGCCTTACGGCTACTACGCCCGAGCCTGACAAACCACAGCCTAAACCAATCACCGAAGCCGAGATGCACATGCACTGGATTAAGATAACTATCTTCGGCATTCTATGGGTGATAATGGGATGTGCTGTGGGCTACATGCGGCAGGGGATGGACGACACGCGTACTACCGGCCCTTCGTGGGACCCAGCCGGTACTACGCCCTTTCGCGAGTACGTTCGCGAAGTACATGCATGGATAAACGTAACGAGCGGCAATATGACGCCACCTCAGCAAGCTGCAGCACTACAACGTGGCCTTCAAGGCCTTGCTCGTCGTATCGCCATGCAGGTCCCCTCCCAGATCATCAACTATGGTGTAACTGTCAACGGACAGCCAACGGATGCAGTTACTTATATACTGTACCTATTGAGCACCAAATTTGAAAATCTGGAAGATGAGCGCCAGCTCAACTCTGGCACTGCCCTTATCGACTTTCGCGTCGAAAGGGGCGAGCGAATCGACTCAGTGTTAGCTCGATTCGAGATGGCCCGTGACGAGGCTAACTCTGTTGGCTTTGTCATCCCCAACTTTCAGATCCTAACGCTGATCCTTTTCAGAGCGTTAGGCGTTGGCGCGTCACGAGCCCAACACCTGCTGGAGCCCTTTAATCATCAGATGCCCAGAACACAAGCAGACTATGACAGGCTGCTGACCAGGATGAGGAACTACGGGCATGTTGCCGAGCGCTCTCCTGGCAACATTGCGGGTATCTTCACAGGGCACCACTCACATGCAGGTGTCTACGCCACGACTGCGGGGTCACCCGCTGGTCCTGGCGAGCCAAGTCCCTGGGCTGATCCAGCCGATATGCCTAACGAGGCCACTGTCCTCTTAGGGCAGACTGGCCAGGCATCGGCAGAGGCAGCGGAGGCGAACGCCTGGTCGAACTACACGCCGGGCGCCGCCTACACTGCAAGCCCGCCCTCGGGCACAACCCTCTGGGGCCAAGCGGAGCCATCCGCTCAAGGGTCTCAGCCACCCTCTCCGTTTGAATCTGGCACTGACACAGATACTTCATCTGACGGTGATCACAATGGCATAGTCTCTGCTGGTAATGACTATCCAGCTGATGACACTCACCTTTCTGAACAACAAAGAGCGGAAGCCGCTTTTATGGCTTATCGCAAAAACGCCGTTGGAGGCGCTTTATGAAGAAACCGGTCAGAAAAGTGAGACGTGCAGTACGCCGACATTT